AAGGTGCTGGACCCTCCCACACGGCTGACCATGGTTCAAGTCCTGGACCTGGTGACTTGCTTTCTCACTTCCTCTCTCTCTCTCTGCATCTCTCTGGTCAAAGTAAAAGAAATGAATGAATAAATAAAATTAAATAAACAATTATTCAAAAAATAAAAATAAAATACATAAGCTCATTCATACTGATAGAAATAAATGAATAAACGAGTGAATAGAACAAAAGGAAAAGTTCTTTATTACCCCAGCATGTCAATGAATAGTAATAACTTATTAACCATTAAGTACAATACTTATTCATTAACTTTATGGTAGAGAAACCTGATATTGTGAATTTAGCTAAAGAGATCTCCCGTCAGAATGCTGAAAGTACCAACTGATTCTTTTGGTGTCCTATAAAAAAGGACAAGAAGACAAAAATGAATTGCAGAAGGAAATAATTAGTTTCAAAGCCTAATTTAGAAACAATATAAATGGCCCTAGACAGTCTTTCCAAACCACCTGAAGTTTCTCAAATAAAGAAATGATTCAAGGTTGGGGCTGGCAAGTGGCATGGTGGTTAAAGGTGCTGAACTCCCACACAGCTGACCACGGTTCAAGTCTCGGGCCTGGTTTCTTGCTTTCTCACTTCTTTCTCTCTCTGTCTCTCTCTGATCAAACTGGAAAACAATAATGATAACAATAATAAGTAAAGTTAAATAAAATAATTCTTAAAAAAAAAAAGAAATGATTCAAGGTAAACAAACAAACAAACAAAAATCTAGAATGCTACCAGTAAAACATGGCCTCAAGATTAAACTCTCAAGGATGTGGATGAAAAGTACTCTGAGACTGCAGAAAGATTGACGGGCATACCAATCTTAAGGGCTTGTCTCCTAGATCCTTTCTGTCAGAAACGTGGGTCTTCAAGAGTCTTAAGGGTGCACTTCAAATGTCAACCAGGAAAAAACGTTTCTGAGAGTTCTAGAGCTATTGTACCACAGAGCCCTGCCTCTCAGCCCAGGTTAGAGAAGGGCCTGTTTAGAAAGAACTATGAATAAGATTTACAGGAAATTGTCAAAAGTGCTAAGATCATTTTATCATTGGCAGCACTGCCTGCTTGATCTAAAAGGGATAGAGATCATACCAATCAGATGCCTTTGGACTCCTGTATCAGTTTCCTAATGTTGTTAACACAAATTTAGTGACTTAAAACAACACGAATTTATTGCCTTACAGTCCTGGAGTTCAGAAGTCTGAACTGAGTTTCACTGGATTAAACTCCGGGTATCAGCAAGTGTCTGTTCCTTCTGCAGTCTCCGGGGGATGATGTGTGCTCTGGCTTTCCCAGTTTCTAGACACTGCTCACAATCCTTGGCTCAGGGTACCTCCTTTCACCCTCCAAGTCTGCAACGCAGCGTCTCTGACTGACTTTGCTCCCATTTCTCTCTCTGACTCTTTTAAGGACCTTGTGATTTCATCGGGCTCACCCAGATAACCCAGTATGGTCTCCCAATGTCAAGATCCTTAGCCTAATCAAGTCTGTAAAGTCTCTTTTGCCATGTAAGATAACACAGTCACAGATTTGGGGAATTAGGATATGTATCTCTCTCTCTCTCTCCTCTCTGTTTTTAAGAGAGATGTTTGCTATAGATCACATGTGCTCACCAGAGAGACAGAGAGAGACAAAAAGCGAGAAACCACCCTCCAGGGGGATGGCCACACTCCAATCCCCTCTCCTCCATTCTCCTCTCAGGATCTTGGGCATGCACGTGTGCCTGGCATTAGTTTTAAGCCACTGGGTCGGAGATTCGAACCATAGTGAACTACGTGAGAGTTCAGCAACATAACCATTATGCCATCTGCTGGTCTCTCATCGGGGGTGATTTCTTACATTTCCTCTCTGTGTCTGTCTCTCTCCAGGGTGTGCACACACCTTATGGTAAAAACCTAAAGAGAGAGGGAATAGGGAATAGCCATGCTGCAGTCCCTTTTCCTCTAGTCTCCTCTTGGGAGTTTGGCATGATTTTAAGCCATTGGGTTTGGGACTTGAACCACAATCAAACATGTGGGAACCGAGTGCCTTAACCACCACGCCACCTGCTGGCCCCAGGATATGGATCTTTTAGGGGTCATTATTCTGCCTACCACAACTCTAATCCTTTTTTAAATTTTTTTCTTTTCTTTATTTGTGAGAGAGTGCATGCACTTGCCAGAGGAAACAGAGGGACCGAGAGACAGGAAGAAAGCACTCTCCCAATTGGGTGTGATCATGCGTGAATCCCTTTTTATCCTTTTCTCTTCTAGGCATGTCCACACACATGTGCATGCACACATGCATGTGCATGCACACATGCATGCCTGGAATGTTTTTTTGAGCCACTCAAAAACTTGGATTTGAATTGCAATTAATCATGTGAGATCTGGCTCACTTACTTAACCACAGACTTCAGGGCTGACCCCTAATCTTTTTTTATTTAATGAATTGTTTTATTTAACTTTTTATTTATTCATTTATTTACTTCTTTATTTTAATTGGACCAGAGAGAGAAAGTGAGAAAACAAGCTGCCAGATCTGGGACTCAAACCATGGTTAGCCATGTGGGAGTCCAGTGCCCTTAACCACTACACCACCTGCTGGCCCTGAGCCCCCCTAATCTTTTATGGAAAGAAAATCTTCTATGAGAATTCTACTGAAGTTCAAGTCCCAGATCTGGTGACTTGCTTTCTCACTTTCCCTTTCTCTGTCTCTCTCTCTCTCTCTCTGGTGAGCGCATGTGCCCTATAGCAAATTTAAAATAATAATAAATCAAATAAATTATTTTTCAGTTTTTTAAAGGGAAGTGTTATGTTCTTGAGGAAAGTGTAACTGAGAGGAAGTCACACTAGCGAGACAGTTCAACCACTGGTGGTGAACACAGCTTTCTTCTGTGAACTTTACAAAAACTTTACAAATCCAGTGCTGTCAATGGTTTTAGCAGCACTGGACAACACTGGATTTTCTTTCCATAAGGAAACATTAGCATGGCCTCTGCACAAGGACGACAAATACATATAACGATGCAGACTTACTACTACACCTCCCCACATTTCCCCCACATCCCATGGGTATTGGGAAGTTAGGGACCCTGAAACTAAAAGCTTCAAAAACTTCCTGATAAACCCCACTCTGGTAAGCATTTAGAATATGGAAATTGGATGCCTGCTACCTGGTTTCCGGTCCCTGCCCTACCACTTGTAAGTTGTGTACAGTCATTGAGCTGATGTTGCAGATTGGGTTCTCCAGAAGCAGATACCGAGATGGAGTTTGGGGAGCAAGATTTTCATTAGGGAACTTCTGTGAAAGGGAGATGAAGCAAGAGAGGGAAGAGGAAAGGCTCAAAGAGGCCTGGTAAAGCCTCGATCAGGGTGGCAGGAGTGCCACGAGTACTGCCTGTCAGTGTTGTCTTGTTCAGAGCAAATGCTGGGCCTTGATTTCTTCATCTCACTCAGTTACTGGATTCAGGCTGCTCTAGGAAGAAAACGACCTCAGGTGAGATTGACCTGCACTGCAGAGTGGACCCTGAAGGCATTGACTGCTGGAGACTCTTCTGACCACATTCCCTGCAGCTGCGTGACAAGCCCTTCCTGGAAGGGGAAGCTGGGTGGCACATTTCTGTGTCTGCTATGAGCACTGGAACGCTAGAACTGGCCCATACTAGATCCCAAGAGTTAGCTGTTAGCATCTCTACCAACCACATTCAGCGACAGCAGGTAGGTATGTTGAAATCATCCATTGTGGGGGAATTTACACCACAGAAATTGGCGAATGCCACAAATCAAAATGTCTTTCCTGAAGAACTATTTTTTCAGGACATCTTCTGAATGTAGTGCACAAGTAACTAACACTGGGCAAGTTATTTATCCTCTCTACACTGCAATCTTCTCATTTGTAAAACGGGGCTCATAAAGCCATAGATAAAACCAACTACGCTGTGGGACCAGCATGAAAATGAAATGAATGAATACATGTGAAATGTACTGGAACAGTGCCTGCCTCGCGGGAGCACTCTGTAAGTACTAGTATTTGTACTCTTGCTGCTGTCATTACCTAATGGTTTAAGGAGAAGAGTACCACCTTAAACACCTCTGCTGGGTTTTCATACAGGCAGGTGGCTGAATTTTTGAGTATGACATGGAAGTCACACTTAGTATGACTATCTGAGAGTCCCCAACCACAAGGAACCTCTCATTAGTCCTTTACTGTGGTTGTTTACACATCTCTGTCCCCCATGAGCCCAGGGTGGGATTTGTTGTGACATGGGTGCTAATACATATTTGTTGAATGAAGGAATGAATGAATGAACCTTGCCTGGGAAGGGAGTAAGAGAGGAGTGAAGAAGGAGCCTATTGGGCTCTGATAACAATAGTTCACTTGCTCAAGTGACTATGTAGAGCAATGACCTGGCACCTGTTTCAGGGGTGATCTGTACGTTCTGGATTGGTCATGCAAGGACCTGTCACAATCCTCAGCTGTCGTGTCCTCTGCAAAGCGTTTTCCTGCCCCTGCTCTCAATCAGCTTTTCCCGTGCCGTGCGGCTATTACCACGCCACCAAGTTTACTCTCTGGGACGTCCCCATCAGACGTTCCCCTAGCGGAGCTTGTCTACTTCCACTCTGTGATCGGGGTGTGTGTGTGTGTGTGTGTGTGTGTGTGTGTGTGTGTGTGTGTGAGCATTTGGGAGGTGGCGCCGTACATCCTTGGACCAGTGAATTAATTCATCGCTCAGTCCACTCCTGCCTCCGTTTCCCCGAGTCTGCCAGGCACCGAAGCCCCTTGCAGGGCTTGCAAAGTTTGGCGGAGGGCGGGCAGACACTGGGATGGCAGGCAACCCGGATGCTTTCAGAGGAGCGGAGGGCAGGAGGGTGGGAAATCCAGATCGGGAGCACCAGGCGTCAGAGCGCTGCAGGGATCGGGGGCGGGCCCGGGCGGGTCCTGGGCAGCCTTGGGGCGGGCCGGGAGCTGCGGGCTCAGAGCCCAGCGACACTGTCCAGCGGGACTCGCGCGGCGCCGGCAATGGGCCCTGGGGCGCTGCTGGCAGTGTTGCTCGTGCTCGGAACCGGGGACACAACCAGAGCAGCGGCGCGAGAGGACACGTTCTCGGCGCTGACCAGCGTGGCACGCGCCTTGGTGCCAGAGCGCCAGCTACTGGGTCTGCTGCGGCGCTACCTGCGAGGGGAAGAGGCGAGGCTGAGAGACTTGACCAGGTGAGGGCTGGCGTGGAGAGCGGCCGAGGGGTCTGGTGAGCGACCCTGTCCTACAGGCTGGGGGTGGGGGCTAGTGTGAGCCCACTGTCACCTTGCGTGGGACTTCAGGTCAGTGTCCCACTGTGAGACTGAGACGCTGGCATGGGATGGGAGCTGACTGAAGCCCGTGTGCCCCCAGACCCACTGTTAGCCATGGGGGAACTCTGAGACACTCTATCATGGGGCATTGGGAAAGGCTGTGCCACATGGCACCTCGGATTCCGTCACACTCACAGTGGCACCCCAGATCCAGCATCACCCAACGAAGTTGATACACTGTGGAAAAGTGTGGTGGGCCGACTCCAGGACCACCAGGTCCTATAAGGTGCTGTGTCAGCTGTGCAGATCCCCAGGCGCTGTGACACAGTGACATACTGCAGTGACACAGAAGCACTGAGAGTTAGACGGAGCAAATAACGGGGTAAAATCCTGAAAAGGCCAGCCGTGCCCTCTGGAGCTTGCGACTAGAGCATCATGATCATTAACCAGAGCTGTCTGTTGCCTCAGTGTTTTTCACTCTTCTTACAAGTGTAAAAGCTCTCTAAACAATAAATGATTGCTGGGCTGTCGTGTGGAAGCAACTGACACCAAGAAAACACCGCAAAAAGCCACACTTAGTGCTAGAAGGTCCTGAGAGGAGCCCCCGGCTGCTGCTCAGCCATACTGCTTTGCTGTGTAATCAACAAACTCTAGCGCTACCCACTGAGGGATCAAAGAGAGAAAGGCTGGGACTGGGGGCACGGTAATCACCTACCGACCTGGTCAGTGTCAAACTATGAGATGAACAACTGTATGTCATGCCACATGTCCGAACATGTGTTGTGCCTCCTCTGCTCGGACACTGAGAAGCCCACAGCACTGAGTCCTTAGTAGGGTGTACTGTGTGACCCGCTCGCTGAGCTGAGACGACACAGCGCATTGTTTATAAAAGCGCAAGTGAGCGTGTGTGGTGTGAGTACCGATGCAAGGGTGACATGGACGGTGTGTGGGACACAATATGTGAGAGAGACCATGCAGAAGAGAGTCTGTTTGCGTGTGGAAGTGTGTACGAGAGATCTCACGGGTTATCCGTGGAGAATCGGTGATATCATTTGGTGTATGTCCTTAAGCAGATAGCTTGCCTCCAAGCAGTTATGTGCATATACATTTGCTATTAGTTTGAAATAGTTTAACAATACACACATAGTCCTCAACTTACAATGGTTCGAATTACAATTTTTTAGCTTTATTAGCGTGTATAAATTAGCGTTCAGTAAGAAACTACTTCAAGAACCCGTATAGCCATTCTGTTTTTCACTTTCAGTGCAGTATTCAATAAATTACCTGAGATACTCAACACCATATTATAAAATAGGCTTTGTGTTAGATGATTTTGCCCAACGGTAGACCGATGTAAGTGTTCTGAGCATCTTTGAACCATGATGTTTGGTAGGTCAGGTGTATTATTATAAATGCAGTTTTGACTTAGGATGGGGTATAAAGGGTGAAACCCCAGCATAAATCGAGGAGCATCTGTCTATATAACGTGTTCATTAATTTTAACAATAAATGATGACAATTTCAATAAGTCTTCTCAAACTCTAGAGTGGAAAAGTTGCCTGGTGTTCTGTGGGCCTGTATCGGCAGAGCGAAGTGTTGTAATTCTGTTCTTAGTGCACGGTCACTGGAATCCAAGTTCATTGGCGGAAATAGGACAGACATTTTCACACTTTGATTTCAGAACCCAGCCTGCTTCCTGCTACCCTTGTATTTGGTCTCGTACCAGTAATCTTTCTTTAAGTGGTTCAGATGGCAATTGTAGGAGTCAGAGTCCTGGTGCCAGGCCTTCAGGAAACAGGCTCAGAGGGCAGCACTTGAAGCATCAGGCAAAGCAGTTGGCCAGGGGTTCCTCGCCATGACGATCTCCTTCATCGTGCTGTTTCCATTGCCATCGTCAGAGTGGGAGGTCTCACCCAAACCTTATCTCATGTGATTCTCACACACAACGTTTTGAAGTAGGTTTGCATTACAAACTAAAGTTTAGTATCTTATCGAAGATGGTAAATCTACAAGATAGCAAATGCAGGACCAGGGCACAGTTCTTTGGATATTTTTTAATCCACGTTTCTTTCCATCATGTTATGATGTCCCCGCTGCTAGCTTTAGCTGATAGACCAGGATGCAGACTGAGCCCCAGAACAGCAGGAGGTTTGATTAGTGGCCAGAATCCATGGTGGTGAAGGGTCTGGATTCAGTTTAACGGGAGTCTGTTTGCATCCTTGGCTCTGACCTTGGGCAACTTTTTTGTTTGTTTGTTTTTAATCTTTAATTTCCTGATCTATAAAATTATGATAAAAATAATAGCTTGGGAGGATTAAGTACTATGTAAAGATATTTATCATTGTGTTTGGCATGTAATAATTGCTCTACAGATGTTAACTCTTTGTGATTATTGTTCGTTTTATTGCCTATGGGACCAGCAGTTAGCGTAATGGCTATGTCACTGGACTCCCATATAGTCAACCGCAGTTCGCGTCCCCGACCTGGTGGCTTAAACTCACGCTGGGCACGTGTGCGTGTGCGCCCAAGATTCCGAGAGGAGAATAGAGGAGAAGGGATTGTGGCATGGCCATACCCCCTGGGGGGGTGATTTCTCGCTTTCTATCTCTCTGTCTCTCTCTGTCTTTCTGGCGAGCGCATGCACCCTATAGCAAAAACCTCTCCAAAAAAAGAAAAAAAAAAAAAAAAAAAAAAGACTGCCTAATGAAACTAGCTCCCACATTAGCTCTCAGCATTAACTAGCATTGTGAAAGCCTATATAAAAACATAATCATATGGGCCAGCAGGGAGTATGGTGGTTAAGGCACTGGATAGTACATGGCAGGCTCCAAGTTCAAGTCTCACACCTGGCAGCTTGAAAAACATGCCAGACACATGTTCATGCATGCACAGTATCCTGAGAAGAAAATGGAGGAGAGGGGAATTTTGGCATGATCCCTCTGGGGCCAGGGCAATGGGTCCTCACTTCTCCTCTTTCTCTAGCGAGTACCCATGCCATAAAACATAAGATTCTACGATAGATTTTTTTTTTAATTCTCAGATGACTTATGAACATTCGATTTCACAGAATTTTGTTTGACATTTTGTTCACTGTCAGTCTGTTCTGTAGTCAATGGTCTAAAAATGAGTGAAATGTTTGGTTTATAAAGCAAGAATTTTGGCAGTTTCTGATCATTTTCTTATACTTCCAATCTGGTGCTATTATCTAATTTAAGATGTTATTTCTAAGTCCTCAGATGATAGTCTTCTCTGACATTTTAAAATCTGGAAATGAAATATTTTTCTATGTTGAAACTGCTCTCTACCCTGAATTAATGAATAAAAATGTTGCTAGCTATGGATGTAAAGTTATATAGTTCTGTAACACATATATAGTTACATAGATGAGATGGCTTTTAAAAGTTAGTGGAAAATGGAATTAAAATATGAGTTTATTTTGGTGCAAAAACATCTGAAATCCATGCATAGTTCCCCCCCCAACATTCTACATTTTCCATGAAGTGTTTGAATACCTCATGTGTATATATCATTAAATCCTATGTTTTTTCCTTGTTGCTGTTGTTACAGCTTTAAAACTCACTGGACTGAAAGAGTAGCAGCAGCAATTCTTTCTGTTCTAAGAAGTAAGCATTCAGAATGTCTCAGGAGAACTGAGACAAAGCCTTTACTGAATTCCAGAGGAGAAACATACATATTGAATTGGAATGGCCCATACGCAGTACTTGGATAAGCCACCCAGACTATGCTTAATGCAGGGATTGGGTTGCAAATTTTATGTGCAGATTCTCATAGAGAAGGATCTGATTTTCCACTCTCAGCATTTGTTAAAGCAAAAAACCATTTAGGAAACTCTGAGGTTTGAATTCAACATCCAATAACTCAGTCTCTGGAAACCAGCTATTTGCTCAGAGGCTGGGCATAGGGCCAACTTTTGGATTCCAAACCATCCTCAGATATCAGTCAACAGATTTTCTTTGTATGACAGAAAAATGGCATATCTGAACACTGAACTGAATTGATGTGCAGCAGTAAAAGCGAAACCCCTGGCCTGAGCACCTCGACCTCAGAATGCAATGCAGGGCGCAAAGGAAACAAGATAATAGACAGTCATTTGATTTGATGGATGACTCGGGGAAAATATTTACCTCTGTCTTACTTCTTTCCTTTTGTGCCTGACTTTCTCCTGCTGCCTGTTAAACATAAGACCTCAAGCTAATGAGCAATCTATTTGTTCACTTGTGGAATTGAAGTGACGAAGTAATGGGATGCGCACACGGAAGGGTTCATAGAGATCTCCTAGACGGGATTAGTTCTTCTAGTTTGCAGGGGAGGAAACTGAGGGCTAGGAGGAGGCTGGAGCAGAATGTCTCAGGTCTCCTCCTAGCTCCCCCCATCCAACTGTCTTATACAATCCCCTGCTCACTCAGCCGCAATTGTTCCTGGACTCTTACTCATTAAGCTGGACTGAAGCCCAAGTCTCTGCTTATAAGGTTTTTCATCGAGCAATGGAATATCTTTCACTAAGTAGTTCCATATGGAGCCCAAGCGGGAAATAATGGGCAGTAAAACAGCACCCACACCCTGCAGCCTCGTTTAATTTCAAATCCTAGTTTAGCAGCTCACACACTGCCCTGTCGTTGGAATCGGAGACATTCTGGGATTTGACAGGCTTCCCCTTTCCTCCCTGGGGCACCCAGGCCCAGATTCTCCTTCTTAGCTCATGTTGCTTTGAACATTAGCTCTCTGGAAGCACCTCAAGGCAAGTCATCTTCTATTTCAGGCTCTATTTCCTAATCCTCCCATCAGATTCTACTTGAGGAGTTGAAATCTCCCTGCTCTGCCACTCCCTCCATTCTCCCTTTCATGGCTTTTCACATGCAGGACTTTCCCACTCTTGCAAAAGGACTCTTGTAGTATCAGGTGCTCGTGCACATGTTCATACTTTTTTTTTTCCACTTAGCACATACTCTTTCTTGTTTTACTTCCATTGTTACCATTGGGGTGTCAGAAAAGCCTTAATGCATTTCTGCATTAAAAAAAATAAATAAAACATGGAAAAACACACATGACTCTTCAGACAACCCAATATATTCCTTTTGGAAATCATTTTACAATTTATTTCTTCCAAGTGAGAGAAATAGAGACAGACATCCCCAATGGGGTCCTCATGCCACAATCCACCCCTAACTATGAATCACTGGGACCAAGATTATTGTTGTTTTCAAAAATTTGTCCAAGATACAAAAGAGTATATTGAATTCAATTCTTCTATAGAAGTATATATTAAATCTACATGCAAAGGGATGAATAAAGTTATTTTGTCTGTGAAATTCTTGAGTATGGGCCCCTATTTAGCCCTAGCACCTGGCATATAATCTGATGTCAAGGAAGTAATGATATGGGTTAAATTATCAAATAAACAAGTATGTCAGGCCTCTGTGTCTTTGTACGCATCGGCCTCTGTTGGCTTTGGAAAAACTCTTTCTTGGTATTCTCTGGGAATCAGCCCAGCAAAAGCAGCTGAGAACCCAGTGTTTGGAGCCAGGCAGACTTGGGTTCAGTCCTGACTTTGCCATTTCCTAACAGTGTAACCTCACTTCAGTTTCCTCTCCTGTAAAATGGGCAAAATAAAATCTCACTAGGGGTTGTTGGGGGGCTGTTTAAATGAGACCATATAGATAAAGAATTCAATGGTGATGCCTGTACCTGGTAAAGGCTCAGTCAGCAATAGCTATCAGTACTTGAATTAATCCTTCAAGGCTCAGACCAAGTGCCATCTCCCTGGGAAGTCTTCCTTACTCCTAACTCCACCCAGATATTAACATTGGATACAGAGTGATGATAGAAGAAAAGGCCTTTCTTATTGCAAACTCTTTGAGATCTGGATCCTGTCTGGCCTGTGTATCTCCAGCATCTAGCCTGGAGGCTGAGACACAACATTGTCTAGTATAGATTGACCCATTCAATGAATGAGTGTACCTACTTATGTTGTGTTTAGAGTTTTCATATTCTTTATGCTTGCATGGCTTTTTGGCTAGACTATTACATGAGTCTCAAGAGGTTCAGCATTTCCATTTTAGCTACTCTTATTGTGTCAGTACCATGCTGATCTTCCAAAGGTATGGTGGTTGTACAGGGAGGTGAGCTTTTCCAATTCCTCTCTTTCAGATTCTATGACAAGGTGCTTTCTTTGCATGAGGATTCAGCGACTCCAGTGGCTAACCCTCTGCTTGCATTTACTCTCATCAAACGCCTGCAGTCTGACTGGAGGAACGTGGTGCATAGCCTGGAAGCCCGGGAGAACATCCAAGGTAACAAGGAGGGATGCTGGAGGGCAAGAGAGAAGCTTCTATCTCCTGACTCAGCGGCAAGGACAGAAATTCTGATGGCATGTCATAGAGGATAATACCTACTTGATCTTCACTCCAGCCAGTACAAAGAATTAGGACTTGAAAACAGGATGAAATGATTTACACCTTAGGAAGCGCTTCCATATCCATTATCTCACTTGATCTTCTCCATGATCCTGAGCAGTACAGGGTATGTCATCCTGTTTACATACATGTAGTAAGCAAGGGTCTTATAGTCCCTGTTTCATGACCTTGTCCCTACAGGTCTTATAGTCCCTGTTTCATGACCTTGTCCCTACAGGTCATGAAACATCTGTACCATGACCACCTCCCTCACTTGTTCTACTCATGCTTAAAGAAGGTTATTTCAGAGGTAGAAGAGTTGTCCCCCTAAAGGACAAGATCCCTGGAGACATACAGGATAAGAAAATAGATGAAGGTTGTATGCCTTGTTTTTCACTCATGCTGACTGTTCCTCCTTCAGAAATTATATTATGCATCCGCCCTGTGCTATAAAGTGTTTGCTTCTAAAAAACACAAAGACAAAGAATACTAACTTGTGAAATATTTGGACAGAGGGTCACCCCTTGCATGGATTAAATGCTCACCACTTGGTCTTTGAATGATGGCCTGATATTTTTACTACTTCTACAGCTCTGAAGGATGGTTACGAGAAGGTGGAGCAAGACCTCCCAGCCTTCGAGGACCTGGAGGGGGCAGCGAGGGCCCTGATGCGGCTGCAGGATGTGTACATGCTCAATGTGAAGGGCCTGGCTCGTGGTGTCTTCCAGAGAGTCACCGGCTCAGCTGTCACAGATCTGTACAGCCCCAGGCGGCTCTTCCCCCTCACAGCTGATGACTGTTTCCAAGTTGGCAAGGTAACAATATTCAGAGAGAGAGCCAATTGCTCAGCTCCTATTACTTCTGCATGAAATAACTACATCCTGATTGCTTTGACGTATTTCTAATATCTACAACAAGCCTAGAAATTTGATATCATTCCTATTTTAAGAGAAAGAAACCAAGGTTCAGCATAGGTAACTTGCCTGATTTTACACAGTTTAAAGTAGGATAACTATTAATATATTGTGAACCCAGCCTTTTAACTCCAAATCCTACGCTCTTTCTACAGTGGCAGAGGTGAGAGTGGAAGGGGTGTTATTAATTATGCCAGAAAAATAGATATACACAGGGCATCATGGTCCTTTGGTCACCCCAACTATAGCATTCTGCCAGTCTATGAACCACTGCGTGGAAAGAGAAAGCAGGGCTGGACCCATAGCCTAGTGATTAAAAGAGCTGGATACCACATCGCCAATAGTGGTTTGAATCCCAGCCCCAGCAGCTTAAAAAACACTCCACACAGGGGGATGGAAGAGAAAAATGAAAGAGAAAGCATAGAAAAAGAGATGGTGATATGAAGGTATGATTATAGAAATGCAGGCTTTTGAGACTTTCTGGAATCTCTTGCAACATTTCCTAGGCATTTAAACATAGTAGATTAAAGTAATGTAAAACAAAGCGAAAACAAACTAAAACCCCTGAGGACATTCACTTTAACATTACTTGAAGAAATAGACTTCAGGAACCTCCCCTATGAGGTCTTACACTGATCTTGGATCATGAATTGTAATCACACTGAGACTACTTTACAATGTACTTTGCCCACATTCGCCTTAAGAAGTTATAAAGTAAGTCTTCTGAAATTTTGAAGATGTGGATTGCAGGGAAGTGAACGTTCTCTGGCTCCTGCAGTGTTCATTAGCAGACCTAAGGGTGAGCCTCATGTGCCCTGATTCCAAGGTTTGGGAATCAGTCTTTTAAATGAATGCAGGAGAGGTCGCCTTGTGTCTATGTGGACTGTTGCCCCTTTTCTGAGATCCTGAGAGGAATTAGAGCTCAATCATTGTGTTCATAGCTAATTTGAATTTAAGCCAGTTAAAATAGGTTGACATATGAACTAATACATGCCTCATTAGAAGCCTAGTCAACTTGTGCACACGGGTCATGCTCCCATAATTCTGACTGGCTGGGAAAGCTGGGGGCAGAGATGATGGCATGAGACCCTGCTGAGGGTACTTGTGTTTCTCTCTCTCTCCCTCATAAAATAAAAAAGTAAACTTTAAAAAAAAAAAAAAAAAGCCAGGATTGTCACAGGTTGAGTCAGGGATCAAATCCATGTCGTCTGCTTCAAGTCAATATTCCTAACCATCAGACCACACTGCCTCTCTGCTAGAGCTAATGCTGCTTTTGTAGTGGATGTTATTAATATCAATATTGAATACAACTGTGCTCCCTCCCCAAAAAATCTGTCTTTGGTTAATGAGTGTGCGTGTAACCTGCAGAGATTTCTCTGTGCATCTGGGCACTCATCACACCTCTATGGGGAATCCCAGGGGCACAAAGTGGAGGAAGCGGCTGCCAGTTCCCAGCCTTGGGTGGTGCTCATGGGCTGAACTGAGCTTCTCTGAACAACTCACAGGTCTCCAGGGACTTCGGGGTGACCTCCTGGTGGACCTCCTGGTGATGGAGCCTTGGCTGGCCAAGTTCCGGTCTACCTTCCCTCTGGTCGTATGGCCATATGTCATCCACCAGCCACAATCCTCATAGCCGCCTTGCCCAGGAGAGCATGCACCATGTAATCCATTTTGAGATGAGTTATAGAACTCAAGAGTGAGGAGCCTGTATCCACGTCTCACCCAGGAGCCTGGTCACCCAGTGATGCCCCATACCAACCTCCAGGCTGTTGAATGCTGGTCCCCAAACCATGGATAGGTGCTGAGGAGGAGCACAGCGGTGGCTGTGAGGGTCAGCTCTCTCTTTTCTGCCTTCTCTGGGGCCTAGTCGGAAGCAAAACATGCTGCACAGGGGAGAAGGCTTCCCAGCTACAAGAGCAGCCAGGAGTTGTAGCTCCGCAGGAAGCTCAGGTGATTCCACTGTAGCCTGGGGGGGGCTTCTAGGCTTCCCTGAGCCCAAGCAGCCACTCCGGGCCTGTTACCTGAAGCCTGTGCAGGTCTGAGAGCTGGCTAAAATTCCTAATGGTCTTCATCTACCACTATTCTACTGAGTCTGTTGACTCTTGCTCATCATGGATTATTTCCCAATGTGGTTAGTCACGTTTGATTGGGAGCTTATTTTCCGCAGGACATTTTTTTTTATTTCCTCCCCATGACAGAATATCTGTGCCCAGAGAGGTTAGAATATCATCTCTCCAGAGAGTTCTGGATTGTCTTCTTTCAGGACTGGTCTTGGACCCATTTTTATGCTGACTTACTGACTTGGGGGTGGGGTGGGGGGGTCCTTGACCACACGGGCATTACAGATTTATACCCTAAACTCACAGGAAGCATAGGCCAAGAGGGTGAGTATTATAAGGAGGTATTTTATTTTTTATTTTATTTCTTTATAATACTCCTTAAAGTATAGAGGTCAGACAGAAGCAAACCAACTGTCTTATCTTCGTACTCCAGTGGGTAGTTTGTTTTCTGGTCCCTTCTTTCTCTTACTGTGTAGGTTTTCATGAGATCCAATTTTATGAGGTTTTCCTAGTTCCAATTCCCAAGTTTTTGGAGGTCTAAGGATGGCTTATCTTTTATCCCTGCATGAGTGTTACAGCCTAAGGTAATAATTACCATGGTTACCAAAACCAACATCTACCACATACCAGGCAGCTTCATCTAAGCTTATTGCTTGGAGTTTAGCTTTGTTTTGTTTCTGGTATATAGTATTTTCTATTTTTCTTCAAAACAAAAAATAAAATGTTTTATTTTTAAAAAAATTTTTTTTCCTTTTTCTTTGGAGAGGTTTTTGCTATAGGGCGTGTGCGCATGCCAGCCAGCCAGAGAGAGACAGAGAGACAGAAAGCGAGAAATCACCCCCCAGGGAGGATGGCCACGCCGCGATCCCTTCTCCTCCATTCTCCTCTCTGGATCCTGGGCACGCACGCACATGTGCCCGGCTTGAGTTTAAGCCACTGGGTCCAGGACTCGAACCGCGGTTGACTACATGGGAGACCAACGACATAGCCATTAAGCCAATTGCTGGTCCCTAAAATAAAATGTTTTAAAATATTTTATTCAAAATTTCTCAGTATGTATTTGTATTTGGAAGGATTCCAGTTATCTTAATGTTTCTGGGACTTGAAGTTCCTCATAAAAAAAAAATATATTTTTTTATATATATATTTTTTTTTTTTTTTTTGAGAGAGAGGTATTTGCTATAGGACATGTGTGCTCACTGGAGACATAGAGTATTACACAGAGAAAGAGAAAGAGAAAGAGAAAGAGAAAGTAAGCAATCACCCCTCAAGTGGGATGGCACACTGCAATCCATTTTCCTCCATTCTCCTCTCAGGATTTTGGGTGGGCACACATGCACACATGCTCGGCTTGAGTTTCAAGCTACTGTGTCTAGGAGTCGAACCATGAATGGTCATGTGAGAGTTCAGTACCTTAACCACTATGCCACTTGCTGGCCCCATCTCATGGAAATCTTAATTAAGTAAATTGTTAATTCGGTAAGAAAAATTCAATCACTTTTTATTGAATTCTCCACCTCAGCCTTTTTATAATTAGGGAACTCGAGGACCAGAAAGGTAAAACAGCTGGTTAATGGCAGACCTGGGAGAGGAACTGATTTATTATCTAGACTGCAGAGTTGCAGGGTCTCTAAGTTCTGTCCTGTCTGGCAGTTACACTGGAATTAGATCATTTTCTAAGAGTTCTTCCAAATCTGTGAGTATATAGTTTCCTGTGTTCTCCAGTGTCTACTTCCAGGAAATTCCACCTGCAGGTCTGGCATTTTCCTGTAAACTGTAAGCTATTAGGAGACAGAAGCTGTCTGGTACCAATATGTTGCCATAGTGCCAAGCATTCCAATGTTTCATACAGAACAAATCCACTGAGCTCCCACAGCACTGGCATGTCTACATTTATTCCTTCATTGTGGAGTCTGACATACTATGTTACAATTTCTGCTTTACTCCTGTGCCCCTCACTTGATCTGAGCTCTTTCAGGGCAGTAGCACCAGGTACTGGTGAACACTTGGTGTTCAATAAATATTGAAAAAAAAGAATGAATGAATTTAACCCATTCTGTTGCTTCCAGCCCTAGCTTCCTAAAAACATGGCTCTCTCTGGACTAGCAGATGGTATAATGGTTACATCACTGAACTCCCACATAGTAGACCACAGTGTGAGTCCTGGACCTTAGTCACTTAAAACCCATGCTGGGCACATGTGCGTGTGTGCCCAAAATCCTGAGAGGAGAAGGGAGGAGGAGGGATTGTGGCATGGTCATACCTCCTGGGGGGTGATTTCTTGCTTTCTTTTTCTCTCTCTCGCCGTCTCTCTGACAAGCACATGAGCCCTATAGCAAAAATCTCTCTAAAACAAAACAAAACAAAACAAAAAATTAAACCATGGCACTCAAGACTTAGTCACTAGGTTAGCCCAAACTGCCTTTTAAAATTTATTTTCTGTTTCCCTTCGCCTTTGGCTACAGCTGCCAAGAACTACTTGAGCACATTCTTGCTTTGGACTTCTGTTTCTGTCATGCCCTCATCTTATGATTCTTTTCATTCTAATTTCTACACATAGAAATCCTTTTTCTTCTTCAAGGAAGGCCCATCTCAGATGTCACTTCTTCCATTAAGGCATCTGAGATTCCCACGCCTCCTCCCTTCTCTATGACTTCGGGCATCGTATGCATTTTCTTTTGAGCATCCATGGCCTTGTGTCCCATGTTAAAGTTATGTGGATTCATAGCTCTGTTCTCCTCCACATTTTTAGTTCTTCAAATGCGAGAACCCTTGTATATCCTCTCTACTTACATAATGCCTTGCATATACAGATAGACGATAGATGATAGATGGATGCCTCATGAGTTGAGTTAAAATTCATTTGAGACGAAACTTACCTTCTTGGCTTCCAAAGACTCTCTTACTCATTGGATTGTCATTTCCTTTCCTTTGTCCGAGAACTAAGGTTTTAGTGATGGTACTTGTGTCCCCGCAGGTGGCCTATGACATGGGGGATTACTACCATGCTATTCCATGGCTGGAGGAGGCTGTCAGTCTCTTCCGAGGATCCTACGGAGAGTGGAAGACAGAGGATGAGGCGAGTCTGGAAGACGCCTTGGATCACTTGGCTTTTGCCTATTTCCAGGTGGGGAGTGAGTGAGACTCATTATTTTATCACAATAAGTATGATGCTTCATGTCTGCTTTATAATTTTCTTAGCATCTTAATGTCTCTTAATTTATTCCACCTTTCCACTACAGTCAAATGTGAATTAAGCAAGATGATTATTTTATTATTTCCATGTATCACATGTGAGTAAACTGAGACTCCAAAAAGGTCCTGTCATGGAGTTGGGACTAGAACCCATCTGCCTGACTAAGCTCAGTGCTTTCTTCAATGCGATGACTACCATCATTTCCCACATACAAGGCAGTCTCTCGCCCGTAGCAGCTGCAGCCACATTCAGAAATATTTAGTAGGTTCACAGTAAATGCACATCACTCTTCTGTGCTCTCAACAGCTCAGAATTTCCCACTGTTATGCCATGATATTGGGGGAGACGCTGACAATTTCCTCTCCCATCTGCAGCTGTGTCCAACTGTGAAATGACTAGCGTTGGTTATAGGGTTGGAGCCATTGCTCTGTAGAACTGGCCTCAGCGCTTCCTCCAGGGGTTACTTTCCTTGACCCTGTTAATCTTACTACATGTGTGCTTCACGTGGGAGTCCATTTCCCTAAATATAACAATGGCCATCCTTTTGTATGGCCAACTCCATTTCCCATCAGAGTTGTACTATCTTCTAGATTAGGTCAGAGTTTACAAAGCTAATAAAACACTTCTGCTCTCTACATTCTTTTTTCTGTACCCCTTTCCCTGAGAAAAAGGAAAAAGATACGGGTGGTCCAAATCCATATGTTGCTGCAGAAATGGATTTATTCTTAGTGCAAGAAATGGCCCCATTCCTTTGATGGAAGTTCCTGGTAATGGACCTTTGTCATAGAACTGACTGCGTGCTCTTCCTGACTCTCTGGCTTAAGTGCTCATGTTAAAGCTAAAATACATAGAACAACTGAGATGTAACAAAGGGCAAGGGCCCCTGAGTCTTAATAGAGGAAGAAAATGGAGACTAGACATGGAGACTCACTCAGAGAAGCTGAAGTAAAGCGGCCTACCTTGAAAGTCGGGGTTTGGAAGATCACGCCCAAGTATTAGTTGGCCTTGTTTTGTTTCTCTCCAACCCTGACAACTTGGATTTCTCCTCAAGTTACTGGTAGACGCTCTCTTTCCACATTGTCCTTTGGTGAAATTCTACTCACCTGACAAGGCTCAAACTTTAGCTTTGTGAAACCCTCCTTAGTTTTCCTCACTCCTCAGGCTTTCCTCTTTGGTGTCCTTACAGCATGTTTTCATGCCTCAGTCATAGAACACATAAGGTTTTTTTAAAAAAAAGTTTAGTTTTTTCTCAGAGAGAGGTGGAGAGATGCAGAGAGGAGACACCCCAATGGGGTCTTCATGCTGTCATCCACCCCCAGCCTCCATAGATCATGGACATGCATGCACCTGCCTGGCATGTACAAGGAAACCTTGGGATGCAAGCCCATGACCTTCCTGTGTGGCTGAAGCATCACAGAGCACTGTTACCACTGTGCCACCGTCTGGCCCTCATAAGGCTTTGTTTCATGGCTGATTTACATTTCTCCTTCCCTTCCAGTAAACTACAGGTGAATGTTCCTCTATTAGACCCTTCGTTATCATGTAAAACCTGACATAAACTTATATTTTAGCATTTTATACGTGTGTATACACACACACACACACACACACACACACACACACACACACATATATATATATATAAAATCAATATTTTTAGAGCGAGATTTTTGCTATAGGGCATGTGCACTTGCTGGAGAGACAAAGACAGAGAGACAGAGAGTGAGAAATCATCCCCCAGGGGGAACAGTCCCGCCACAACCCTTCTCCTCAATTCTCTTCTCAGGATTTTGGGCCCACATGCACATGTGCCTGGCTTGAATTTTAAGCTGCCATATCTGAGACTCAAACCATGGTTGATTATGTGGGAGTCCAAAGACATAATTATTATGCCATTTTTTGGTCCTTCATTATGTATTTTCATAAGGAAAATTCTAGTAACTGTCAACAACGAGGGACAGCAGAGTGTAGTGGTTAAACCATAGACTCTGGAGTCAGACAGACCAAAGTTCACATTCTATGAAAACTTGGGCAACTCTGGACCAGCAGATGGCGTAATGGTTATGTTGCTGGACTCCCACATAGTTGGCCGCAGTTCTAGTCCTGCACCCGGTGACTTACAACTCATGCCAGGTGCATATGCATGCTTGCTCAAAATCTCGAGAGGAAGAGAAGGGATTGTGACATGGCCATCCCCCTAGGGGGTGATTTATCATTTTCTGTCTCTGTCTCTCTCTGTCTCTCTGGCAAGTGCACACACCTTATAGCAAAATTTTCTCTAAAAAAGCAAAAAAGAAACGGAAACTTGGGTAACTCAACGTTCTTGGGTCTCAATTTTTTTATCAGTAAGAGGGGAAAGATAATGATGCTCACCTCAAAGAGCTACTGTTGGGATTAAATGAGTCAATACATGGAAATCTCTTAATGCAGTGCACAGCACACACCATGCTCTCAATAAATGTCAACTATTATTGTTATATTACATGCTACAAGTGGGTGTGTCTTTTTTTATTCAATGTGATTTAGAGTTCACATTTCCAAGGAAATTTAACTGGGATTTCAAAAGTTACTCTAGCTTTGTTCTATATAAAACATAATTTTATTTCAGTACAGGCTCTTGAGTTTTAAAAAATATGCAAACAAGGATGGAGAAATGGAGGAGAAAGGATTGTGACATGACCACACCACATTGGGGGATGCTTTCTCGCTCTCTTTCTTTCTCTCTCTCTCTCTCTCTCGCTCTCTTTCTCTCTCTCTCTCTCTTTCTCTGTCTCTCTCTGGCAAGCACACATGCCCTCTGATAAGCTTTTTAAAAAAATGAACTGTCTATGAAGACCATGTAATGATATAAAAACATTCCTAATAATAATAAAACATGAAGCAAACAGGATGTGAGAGTATGTACATAATATGGTTTATAACTATGTTAGAACTGTATATTACCTAAAGTGCTTACAAAGACTGAGTTTCAGTAGAGTAATTTTTTCATTTCTCACATTTTATAATGTGTTTATTATCGCTTTTATCATTAAAATGTGGTTTTTTAATATGCTAAAATAAAATGATTGGGAGAAAATGTATTTCTCTTAGTTAATCATTTGAAGGCAACCAGAGGGTTACAAAATCCTCCTGTGCAGGATTCTGTTCCCTAGATTCATCTGCAAAACCCTTTCCTTTTTTTTTTTTTAAAAAAAATTATTTCTTTTATTTATAGTTACATTTAATCTGCTATGTGGCACATACACTCACCAGAGTGGAGCAGGGGAGAAAGTGAGAAAGCAAGCCTCCAGGACCATGACTCGAATCCGGGTCTGCCATGTGCTGCCATGTGGGAGTCCAGAGCTTTAACCACCATGCCACCTGCTGAGGTTGAATGGCTCCAGGGAGAGTTCATTCTAAGGCACTGGAGCTGTTTCTGCTATAGTTGTTCCTTTGCTTCCCTCCCACTGACTTTGTAGATTGTAGCAAATCCTGAACCTGGAGAATAGACGATATTTTTCCTAGAGTTTTTATCAACCCATATTTTTTTTTTTTGAAAGGTTTTTGCTATAGGGTGCGTGCGCTCGCCAGACAGGCAGAGAGAGACAGAGAGATAGAAAGCGAGAAATCACCCCCCAGGGAGGATGGCCACGCCGCAATCCCTTCTCTTCCATTCTCCTCTCGGGATCTTGGGCACGCACGCACACGCACCCGGCCTGAGTTTTAAGCCACCGGGTCTGGGACATGAACCACGGTTGACTACGTGGGAGTCCAGCGGCATAGCCATTATGCTAACTGCTGGTCCCAACCCATATTAAGTTTAATAATAAAATATAACCAAATAACAACACCCTGCAACCATGTGGTTTTGTATACTTAAAATCCCAGGGCACTTTTTTTCTCTTTTTTTCTTTTTTTGGAGAGGTTTTTTGCTATAGGACGCATGCACTCTCCAGAAAGACAAAGACAGAGAGACAGAACCAGGGCACTTTAAGAATGTTTATCTCCACTCATTTTTCTACCTTTCCAGGTAAGGGTGGCAGTAAGTCTTGTAAATGAGGAAACTAAAGAGACCTGCTTTGCAGTAGAGCCATGGTCTTCCCTCAGCTGCTTGCAGTGAGCCCCACATCTACCTGTCATGAATATTTTTTGTTCGCTTTTTAAATCAGTTTGATGATTTGGTCAGAGGAGAGGTCCTCAGTGCAGTTAACACTTTCTTTTCCCTTTCTTCCTTCGTGTTTGTTTTATAGGCAGGAAACGTGTCCTGTGCCCTCAGCCTCTCCCGAGAGTTTCTCCTCTACAGTACGTAATGATCCGAGAAAAGCCAGCCCCAGGTCTGCCTTCCGGGAAATCCCTTCCACTCCTGGCTTTCATCTGGGCATGTGAAGGACAGCTACATATGTTTATTATGCTCGTTTCCTAATTCTAGGCACATTTCAAACTTTGGATAAAATCTTACTTCTATGCAGATCAATGCATCAGAGGGATGTTTTTTTCCTTGACTGAACACTGTAGAAATATTCTATTTCAGGAACCAGCAATTGGTGTAATGGCTATGTCGCTGGACTCCCATGTAGTTAACCGCAGTTCAAGTCCCGGACCCGGTGGCTTAAACTCACGCCGGGTGTGTGTGCGTGCGTGCCCAAGATACTGAGAGGAGAATGGAGGAGAAGAGATTGTGGTGTGGCCATCCCCCCTGGGGGATGATTTCTCGCTTTCTGTCTCTCTGTCTCTGTCTTTCTGGCTAGCGCACACGCCCCATAGCAAAAACATTTCAAAAAGAAATTCTAAATCATATGTTTCAATTGCATTATGTAGTAATAATATCAGCCTATTTTACAGCCTAAATGTATGAGAAAGTATGGAATAGAAATGGTAGGAAAAAACTAAACACAGGTCAAGAACAGGAATTTTTCCCAAAGCCAAGGGCCAAAGGAAGATGTGTAGTCTGCAGGGCCTGAAGAAAAGGCAGGGAGGGCGACAGGTGTAGTATCAGCTTATGTTATTTGCTCCCTCTTCCTGGTGTTTCTGCCAAGAAGGACGGAGGAAAGTAAGTTAGTTGGAAAATGTCGAAAGGAAGGTATCTACCTGGTGCTTTACTCCTCCACCCCCCAACTAGTCACTTATTAGTGTTGCTTCAATGGGAAAGGTCCAGGATGGGGAGCCAGTTTCTTCAGAGACAGTTTAAAGACCCCAGTTTTGGAAGTAGATCTGGGAGTGAAAGAAATCATTGTGTGCTGTGTGTGCAAGGAGGAGAGTGCCAGAGCGGACCAGTCTGGCTGCTCACAGAAGATGTCAGTTCTTCCCCGTAACCCAGCGCCTACTTTGCTATGCAGCTTCCTGCCAGATGGTCCCAGAGTTTAGCCTCAGCCCCCTTCAGGAGGTGCCTTATTAACACAGTGAGACAGAGAAGAGGAAAATAGGTCAGCTAATGTCTAGGCTTTTCTACTTAAAAATTTTTAAACAGGACCAGCAGTTGATGTAATCATTACATTGCTGGACTCCCACATAGTTGAACATGGTTCGAGTCCCAGACCCTATGACTTAAAACTCATGCTGGGACTCCAGTGCGTGCATGCCCAAAAGCCCAAGAGGAGAATGGAGGAGAAGGGATTGTGGCATGGCCATCCCTCCTGGGGTGGGGGGTGATTTCTCTTTTCTGGCTTTCTGTCTGTGTCTCCAGTTACTGCACATGCCCTATAGCAAAAATCTCTCTAAAAAAAATTATTTTTTACTTATTTGCTTACAATTTTGGTGGTAACTCCCTAGGTTTTCCTTAGACAAGGTATTTAGATGCTAAAATAAGATACAAAATCACTATTATGTCTTAATATTTATTAAGTTTTTCATAGAAGACTTTATATATTCATAACTTCTTAATGAATCCTTCAGTAACATTATTCATTTCTGATAATTTAGCAAACAGTAGCATAAGGAAGTAACCGTATGGTCTGGAAACACATGGGTAATTGGTGGTATAAGCAAAATTATAACCCAATCCTCCTTTATTTCTGTGCTGATCTATCAAAATCCCCACCTCTTCCGGAGAGCCCAGAGTGTGTACTACATAGGTGGATAAGCGGAACATGGCCAGTTGAGATCCTAGTTTCATTTCTAGCTTACAAGCGTATCATTTCCATTCTCCAAACTTTATTTCTCCTCTTGTTAAAAAAGAACATTGGAGCGACCTGCCCGTCGTGCAGGGCTTAAACACTGCATCCGGAGTCAGCTCCCACATGGACAACTGTGGTTTAAATCCTGGCCTGGAGGGTTGAAAAACATGCCAGGCTTGTGTCCATGCATGCTCAAAATGGGAAAGAGAAATGGAGGAAATGGACGAGGGCATGATCATACCCCATTGAGGGATGCTTTCTCTCTTCCCTTCTGACTCTTCCTCTCTTTCTCTCTTTCCTTCTGGTGAGCATACAAACCCTCTGGCAATAATAATAATAATTAATAATAATAATAAAGAATGGTGGAGGCACTGTAGTGCAGAGGCTAAGGGAGTCAGATCCCATGTAGTCGACTGCGGTTCTAGCCTGGCTCTGGCAACCTGGAAAATATACTGGCCATGTGTACATGCCCCAAATCCTGATGGGATGGAGAAGTGGATAGAGGATTGCAATGTGAGGACACTCCTCTTTGGGAGGTTCTCTCTCTCTCTCTCTCTCTCTCTCCTTGAGCACATGTACCTGCTGGCACACACACACACACACACAAAAGATGGCCAGATGGTTGCACAGCAATAAAACATGACACTCTGTGAGGATGGCCAACATGGGAAAGTTTCTGTTTGCATGTGGAGATCCCCAGCCCCCAGAGTACAATGAGTGCACACGCATGCCGTGGTCATGGGCTAGCCGAGGCTGGGGCTGGATTGTGGCATCAGGAACCTGTAAGGAGTGTTCTCTCCCTCTCTCTCTCTGTCTCTCTCTCTCTTTGGCTCTCTTGCTCATGGAAGAAATTTTTAAAAATCTGTTTTTTAAAAAATGGTGATTTCTGCCCCATTTTTTCCTCGTTGGCCAGGGCAGTAGTGGTGGTTAGAAGCAACTGGGCTCCTCAGCGGGAAGTGTCTGGGGAGCATTAGAATAATCAGCACTTCCTTCTGAGATGTACTGAGACTCCTGCCCAGAGGTCAGCAGACCCTGGGTAGCTGCCAACCCATAGGGCCTCTTGCAGCTAAAGTGGGCACAAACAGGTGGGAACAGAAACACTCAAGATTTATGAGGTTTGGAAACCAGCAGTTAGCGTAATGGCTATGTCGCTGGACTCCCACGTAGTCGACCGCAGTTCGCGTCCCTGACCCGGTGTCTTAAAACTCACGTCAGGCGCGTGTGCGTGCGTGCCCAAGATCCCGAGAGGAGAATGGAGGAGAAGGGATTACGGCGTGACCATCCCCCCCGGGGGGTGATTTCTCGCTTTCTGTCTCTCTGTCTCTCTCTGTCTGTCTGGCAAGCGCACGCGCCCTATAGCGAAAAACCTCTCCAAAAAAAAAAAAGATTTACGAGGTTTTCCAAGGGCCTTGTGGAAATCCAGGCTAGAACCAAACTCCAGGACCCTGCCACTTCATTCTGCTCTGCATGGTGTCCAGGCAGTTAGAGGAGTTTTGAAGGATCTAGGGGAGCTGAGAATGAATTAGCTTCCAATTCTCTAGGGCAGAACGGGTAGGCCTTGGCTCTCTGGAATTCCTTTCATTGCACTCATTTATCACATGTTGTTGTTCACAGTAATTTTTAAAAAGAATTACTTATTAATTTAATTTCATTTGTTATTCTTTTTTTAATTTGACCAGAGAGAGAGAGAAAGAGGAAGGGAGAAAGCAATTGAACTGGCACTTGAACTGTGGTTGGCCATGTGAGAATCCAGTGCCTTTAACCACCATGCCACCTGGCGGCCCCTGTTCATGGTAATTTAATGTCCCTTTTCTCGATTAGACTCTGAAGTCTGAGAGTTAGCCTAGCACAGTATCTGGTACATGGTAGACATTTACCAAAGATTTAGAGTAGATGGGTAAATGAATGAAGGAATGAATGAATCAATGAATGGAGCTCCTCTTCCTGTACTAAAACTGACCACCACACTGTCCCAGAGCAGCCTCATGCTGTCTTGACCTAAGAGTACTCAGTGCCACTCTCCTTCCCAGAGCCCTTCCCAGCTTCAGATCTACTGGCCCCAAGTCAGCCTTTTCTCGATACCAGGCGCTCTTCTGGGTTGAGGGCCTTGTATCTTTTTGTGCATTGACACGAGGAGTGGTGTGGGGGCCCATTGGCCAGTCCTGTACAGCAGTGAAGCTGTAGGAAACTTTGGCAGCACTTCATGGGGCCAATATTTGTTAATCTGCTTTATTTCCTGCTCTGCTTTCTCCCAGACCCAGATAATAAGAGGATGGCCAGGAATATCTTGAAATACGAAAGGCTCTTAGCAGAGAGCTCTAACCAGGCAGTAGCTGAGGCTGTTATCCAGAGGCCCAACGTACCCCACCTGCAAACCAGAGACACCTATGAGGGCTTATGTCAGACCCTGGGTTCCCAGGTAGGATTCCTTAGGGCAAACAGGGCTGGCAAGAGATTGAGAAGCCAGAATTGGGACAATATGAGGGGCAAAGGCTGAGGCAGTATGAACAATACTTAGGCCAGCCCTGTTGCCTAATGGTTAGGGCAGCCAGCTCCTACATGGCTGACTGTGATTCAAATGCCAACCCCAGCGGCTCAAATAACATATTATATGGTTGTGTGCGTGTGCATGTGTGTGTGTGTGTGTGTGTGCACATGCATGCACACATTTGCACCCCAAATCCCAATAGACTGGAGAGATAGAGAAGGAATTGCAGTGTGACCATTGTCCCATTGAGGGGTGCTTTTCCCCCGCTCTCTCCTTCTCTTTCTCTCAATCTCTCTCTCTCTGCCTGGTAGGTGCAAGCACTCTCAGGCAATTAAAAAAATAAAAACAATGAAACTCACTTGGGCAGCATCAGAGTAACCACATGCTGTAATTTTCATATCCCATTTTTTAAAATGTACCCATTCACCTCCTCTATGAGAGAGACAAAGAAAGAGAGAGGTACCCCCAATAGGCTCCCCATGCTGTGAACTACCCCAGGCTCAGCTAGCCCAGATTGTGGGCATATGCATAGACCCTGCACATACAGGGAGCCCCAGGGATATGAACCCAGTACCTTTCCATGTGGGCCAGCATTGTTTGTCACTACTGCACTGTCAGCTGGCCTGTCTTCTAGTTTTACTTTGTTTCTTGTTGTTTTTTAATATCAGAGTTTTCCTAAGTTGGTTTCTGCTTCTGGACCCTTCTCCTATGCTGATTCTACTCGTTCCTTCCAGCCCACTCACTACCAGATCCCTAGCCTCTATTGCTCCTACGAGACCAACTCCAGCCCCTACCTGCTGCTCCAGCCCGTCCGGAAGGAGCTCATCCACCTGGAGCCCTACATTGCTCTCTACCATGACTTCGTCAGTGACTCAGAAGCTCAGAAAATTAGAGCGCTTGCAGAACCATGGGTGAGTGTGCCCTAAGCCCGCTTAGAATTTTCCTTGGTGTCTCCACATGCCTGAAGTTCAGGAGTGGAGAACAGGCAACCTGAACAACTTGATACTCATCAGTGCAGAAGTTCAAAGTGCAAATCATCCTTTAAAACTAATCAGTGGGGGGGGGAATGAAGTCACACCAATGGCTGCCTCTGGAGGGAAAGAATTAACTAGGGTGAGGTACGAGGGGGATTTCCTGGGACATTGGAAATGATCCTATTAGGGATATTAAGTATCCAGCTCTTTGCATTTGTCAAAACTCAGCAAATGTTTCTATAGAGACCTGTGCTATCATTGTGTATGTAAGTTTTGTTTTGTTTTTGCTAGAGGGTGCATGTCCTCATCAGAAAGAGACTGAGAGACAAATGGAAGGAGAAGAGAAAGCACCCTCCATGGGAAATGATCATGCCACAATCCCTTCTTCCCCACCTCTCCCTTATTTGGGATTTGGGATATGCACACACACATGCCCACACACATGCCCAGCATACTTCTCAAGCCACTGGGTCTGGGATTTGAACTGTAAAGTTGGCCATGTGGGATCTCACCTCAGTCCCTTCTTCTCCATTCTCCTTTCATGATCTTGGGCACATACACACATGTGCCCAGAGTGAGTTTTAAACCACCAGGTCCAGAACTTGAACCACAGTCGACTACCATGGGAATCCAGCAATATAACCACTACACCATCTGCTAGTCCCGGCCTGGGTAACACAGTAAGACCCTGTCTGAAAAAAAGCCAGGAATGGTGGGGTATACTATAGTCTCAGCTGGGAGGTTGAGGTGGGAGGACCAGGATATGGCAAAACTCTGCCTTAAAAAAAAAAAAAAAAAAAGAGGGACCAGCAGTTGGTGTAATGGCTATGTCGCTGGACTCCCATGTAGCCGACTGTGGTTCGAGTCCCGGACCGGTGGCTTAAACTCATGCTGGGCGCATGTACGTGTGTGCCCAAGATCCTGAGAGGAGAATGAAGGAGAATGGATTGCGGTGTGGCCATCCCCCAGGGGGTGATTTCTCACTTTCTGTCTCTCTGTCTCTCTGTCTTTCTGGCGAGTGCATGTGCCCTATAGCAAAAACCTCTCCAAAAAAAAGAAAAAAAAGAAAGAAAGAAAAAGCAGATGGCCACTGCTGTATTCAATAAGAGAGGAGTCTAACTCTTCCCCAGGGAAGGCCCTGCATGTCAGAGTCAAGCTTACTGTCAATGGGAAGGGGATGTGTGGATGTGTAATCCTCCCCTTAGGAAGCGTGGCAAATATTTAGAAAAATAATACAGTGCACCCTCACCTCTATAAGCACGTTGCCTCCTTATCAATGACATGTGAATACTATCTCAGAATTAAGCACATCAAACTTGGCATGGTGAGGCCAGCAGGTCATTAAGGCATGATGATTAAAGTGCTGAATTCCCACATGGCCATCTGCAGTTCAAGTCCTGGATCTGGTGGCTTGCTCTCTCCCTTCCCCTCTCTCTCTTTCTCTCTCTCTCTGTCTCTCTCTAATGAATGCACATGTCCTGTAGCATTTTTTAAAATAGTAATTATAAATAAAATTAAATAAATATATATTTTTTAATCTGACATGGCTCCCTTAATATGTGCTGTTCATCCAGGCAGCCATTAGTCTTTCATCAACTGGACAGACCCAGGCATGGGACTGAGCGCTGAGCTTTTACAAAGAGCTGAAGCATCAGTTCTTTCACTTTGGGTGGTTACTATGCGATGGGAACACAAGCGCCTAAACACACTCTGATGTGTGCTATGGTGAGGGTGTGTGCAGAGCTGTGCTCTGGTAGCATAAAGAGCAGGCTGCCATCCTCTGGGGCAAAGGCAGTTGGGTGCAGAGCCATTGGGGAGGAGAGGAATCCCTCAGAGGAACAACGTGACGAAGGGGATTCCAGGAAGATAAGCCAGTGGGTGCACAGGACTGACGTGCAATGTGTCTGGAGAATAGCAGATGCTTGCTGCTGAGGTGTGCAGGGGTGGGGTCAGAGGCAATGGGAGATGAGGCCCGAAGAGACCCCATGAGTGAACGCCGTGAAAGCTAGACTGGGGAGCTGGGATTTTACCCCGTAGGCAATAGGACAGTGGCATGCACAGGCCTGTGAATACTCAGGAACACTGACAGCAGACATGGTTGGTGGGAGGAGAGCAGCAGTAATTATTTCCCGTTAAAGCCTCCCCAGGCCAGTCTGGCATCTCTGTACAGAAGGTCTGGGGATGATTAAGCGCCCCTGGTGAATCCGAACAATGTATTCTTGCAGCTTCAGCTTCTCGGTGAGCGGGCAGTAGCATTTGGCTGTGTGCTGCCTTTTCCTTAGAACAGCTTTGTCGCCATGGTAATGGGACAGGCAGGCCACCCAGGGATGTTCATTTCATCCTTCATGGCCAGGTCAACCATCTGGCATGCATGGACCTTGCTGGAAATGTCTCGCTGGGATCACGGATGTCTGTCGGTTTTTGGCTCTCCCAGGAATAAACCCTAGGCTTAGATGCTAGTGGCTCCCCTATGAGAACTGAGCACAGATGCCTCGGAGGCTTGCATGGAATGTATCTGCTTCTATTGACCGTCCCTTTTCCAAAGCGTGCTCTCTCTTCACTTCCTCCCGCTCTACCTCCTACCCATCTTGAAGATTGTTGAAATCCCATACCTCCCTCAGGCTCACTAACCTTGACCGCTCAACCTACCTTGTTGGTTTGTTTTCCAGAGTACTTTTGGGGCCCACATACAATAACCTATTTCTCCTCTGACCTCCAAGCTTTTGTGTCCAATTGTTTGGTCCTTAATTTTTATTTACATTCCTCTTGCCATGTGTGCATTATCTGGTATCACTAACAGCCTCCTGGGTGAGCATCTTGTCTCTCCTACTAGAGGAACCAGCAGACATCAGATGTCTTTCTTGAAAAGCCTTGTGCCGGGTTCTGCCTACTGCAGCCAGAGGAATCTTTACAAGGTCCAATCTGAGCAGATCAGGCCCATGCTTAAATGCATCAATGGGCCACTGCTGCCTCAAAGCTCCGTGGCCCGGCCACAGTCCACCCCTGCTGCTGTTTCTTCACCTTGCGCTCAACACTCCGGCAGCGTGGAACAACTTCCTTTTCTGTGCAAGGGCTGTGCTCTCTGCAGCTCAGTACCCACTTTTCTCTCTGCCCAGAATGCTCTGCCCTGGTCATCTTTTCACATGAGGGGAATTCTTGTGGACATCCTGGGCAGCCTTCCTGTGCCCCCTACGCATGGACTAGACACCCTTTCTCAGTATTTCCACAGCACCCGGCCTTTGCCCATTGCGAGCCCGTTAGATGACTCGGCTAGTTTAATAGATTGTTTTTCCAATACCTCACACAGTGCTCGGCAGAGAACAACCAATAAATATTTGTTCCAAACAACAAATGACTTGCAAATAGACAAAAAAATGATTGTTGAAGGTTTTTAATCGGAGGAGAGGGCTTCTCTAGGGTTTCTTTCCTTTTTTTAAATTTTCCTTTTAAGTCATTAATTTTGCCCTTAAAATACAGGAGGGAATATCCTTCCTGTAAGGTCCTATCGGTAAAGCTCTTCTGAGCATCACCTGGTATCGCTCCAGCCCTGACAAAGAACAAGGTCGAACTTGTGCATAATTGGTCTTGGCAAGAGTCCACGCTCCTGATGCAGCTACTGCAAGGTCACACTGGCCCAGGAAGTAGCAGATAAAGACTCAAAGACTGGAAGCTCTAACTCCCTAGAGATGGATCAAAAAGACCCGGTTAGGGTGCTCAACTCCCTCTATGTCTGACCACAGTTCAAGTCCAGACCTGGCAGCTTGCTTTCTCACTTTCCCTCTCTCTCTCTATCTCTCTCTGGTCAACTTAAAAACATTAAATAATGATAATGAATAAAATTAAGTAAAATAATTCTTTAAAACAAAACCAAACCATCAAATATTTCATGTATGCTTATCTCACTATGCCTAACTCCCCTGCATATCACACACACAATCTCCAAAATAACTTGATTACTCTATAAAAGGAGCCCCCTCCCTCCTGGCAGGTGGGCTGAGGAACCTCAGCTTCAGATCCCCTGGCATTCTTCTCTCAATCAATAATGAAAAATAATAATAGTAAGTAATAAATAAAATTAGATAAATAATTTTTTAAAAAATCTTACCTTTTCTCTTGAGGTGATAACTCCTGAGTCCTACTCAGAAGGTGATATCTCCTTTGTAAATCTCTTCTTTCTCCATGAATGACTCAAGAGAGGACTCCAGGGGAGAGGCCCATAGCCTAGTGGTTAAAGGAGTTGGATCCCACATGGCCATCTGCAGTTCAAGTCCTGAACCCGGTAGTTTGGAAAACACATTGGGCATGTGTGTGTGCATGTCTCAAATCCATACAAGATGGAGAAATGAAGAAGGGATTGCATGTGGCCAATCTCCACTGGAGTGTGTGTGTGTGTGTGTGTGTGTTGGGGGGGAGGGGTACTTGCTCCCTCCCTCTCTCTCTCTGCCCCTCTACTAAGAAGTGTTAAGAATTACTTTATTTAACTTAATTTATTTAATGTATTTTATTTTAATTTGACCAGATAGAGACAGAGTGAGAGAGAGAGAGAGAGATGGAAAGTAAGAAAGCAAGCTGCCAGGTCTGGGGTTCAAACCACAGTCAGCCATGTGGGAGTCCAGTGTCCTTAATTATCACGCCACCTATCCGCCCCTATATAACAATTTTTAAAAATTAACCTAGGGGCTAACAGGTGGCATCGTAGTTAAGGTACTGGATTCCCACAGGGCCTACTGTGTGGTTCAAGTCCCAACCTGATGGCTTAAAAGTCATGCTGGGCACTTCTGCACGCATGCCCAAAGTCCCAGAAAGAGCATGGAGGAGAACGGATTGTGGTGTGGCCATCCCCCGGAGGGTGATGTTCACTTTCCCTCTCTCTCTCTCTCTCTCTCCAGCAATTGCAAGGATCCTTATAGCAAAAATCAGAGGAAGAGAGAGAGAAACACCAGGAATGACCAGCGGAGAATAGATAAAAACAGTGTCAATCACCTTCCAGTTTGCTGCATCCTAATAATGCAGAGTAATAGGCCAAGAACTCCCAAGAATACGTACTGCATCTAACAGATAGGGAAATGGGTCCAAGGAAAAGAAGAGGCTTGTTTAAGATTGTCCACCTGGTTTAGCAGCAAGAACCACATCATAAAAGCTTAGAGAAGGGAGAGGATTTCTGTCTTGGGCACTCCTTGCCCTGGCACTGCTCTGCTGCCCACCGACCTCCAGGACCGAGGCTGAGTCCTGGGAGTTCCCTTCAGTGCAGGACTGTTCACACATTCATTTGCTCTCTAAATGGCCCCTGAGCACCTTCTTCCTACCAGGCCTACTCTGGGTGCTGGGGATACATCCTTGCCCTCATGGAGCTGATGCTCTGAGGGCTGAGGCAGAATAGATCCGTATTTATATAAACAAAATATTTCTCTCTGTCCAAGTATAGTGATTTTGAATTAGGAGTTTCTTTAACTAAAAATCATTTCAATGCTATATCCAGACATTCAGAATTTAATAGAGACATTTAGTTAAATTACTGACTTCAAACCTGTTGTTTTTCCTATTCAAAAAACATTTTGATTCTCTGTAAGGAAGGACTTTTGTCAGAATTGTTCAAAAGGAGCAGACTGCCTCTGGGTGTAGAGTGCTTCCTGTCGTAAGAGAAGGTGTTCATTGACTTCAGCAAACACTTACCTGAGCTCCGACTTGGCCATAGGCTGTGCCTAGCACACGGATAAAAAGATGAATGAGAAATACCTTTCGTTCATATTTAATTCAGTCTCACAGACAAAAAAGGGAATCAAATATCAGTTTACTTAAGTTCGACAAACTTAATTATTGAGTGCTCACTGTCTGCCAGACACAGTGCTACCGGTTATTTTCAACTTTCAGATTTTCAGTCGCTGTTTTTATTTTCAAGTTCAGTAGCTGTCACTAAGTCAGTACCACATGCAACATCTCTTTTAAGTAGAGAGGAGCTGGCCATCACTGTGACTGGGTCTATGCTCCCAAGAGGGGCATGTCTGTAGAAATGACCAAGCCCTTCCTTTGCATTTTTTTAAAGCTTTTTGCCAAAGGACGCATGCACTCTCAGAGAGACAGTAAGAGAGAAAGTGAGAAATCACCCCCCAGGAGGGATGGCCATGCCACAATCCCTTCTCTTCCATTCTCCTCCTGGGATTTTGGACACGCATGTACATGCACCTGGTGTGGGTTTCAAGTCACCAGGTCTGGGATTCATACCATGGTCATCCATGTGGGAGACCAGCGCCTTAACCACTTTGCCACCTGCATTCTAACCACTTGGATCTTGTCTCTGTCCTTCCCACCAGTTGCAGAGATCTGTGGTGGCATCAGGGGAAAAGCAGCTCCAGGTGGAGTACCGCATCAGCAAAAGGTAAGCAGGGCCCTCCTTGGCAGGGCCTCATGTCGGCCCTCTGCCACCCTTGGGCCTGTGGCACTGCTGACCGCCAGGTCAGCAGCAGCCCCTCTGTGACAGTCTGAGACATCCTGGGGGAACCCGAAGTTCATCCTTATAGCTATACATTCTTTTTGAGAGGGAGAAGTTTCCACTCCCTCACCCAAGGGCTCTCTCTTCCCAGTTGTTACATCATCTGAGGATGGAACTGGAAGGCCATTAGAGGAAGACTTGGAGAAGCTCCTGTACCCTAAACCAAAGGTTAAGTCTATGGTTGCTCTCCTAACCAAGATTACTTTTTTGGAGACTGCAGGCCTGTCCATACTTGGGCTTTGGCTTTACAAGACTTCACCCCCACCTCCTAACTCACATTCAAAGCATAAGTTGCCACCAATCAGGCAAGAAGGATGAATGGACTCTCTGGACTTGTTGGCTTCTCGAGGGGAGCAGATTCAGCTGTGAGAGCCTCCTCTCACTGCATTCCCCTGGGGTACAGAGCCAGCTTCCCCCACTCCCTCCAGCCCTGCCCACTCTTACTGTGGCCTGTGTGTACTGCGAGGACAGGAATGAGGATGCAGTGAGAGGAGGGGTCTCATCAAAGCCACGAGGGGCCAGCCCTACAGCCTGGTGGATCACACGTGGCCTACTGTGGTTCAAATCCCAGCTCTAACTGCTTGAAAAACACACCAAGCATGTGCCCCAAATCCCAACGGGATGGGGAGATGGAGGAAAGGGACTATAGTGTGAACACACCCTTTTAGGGATTTTTTTTTTCCAAGCTTCCCCTCCCTTGTCTGTGTCTCTCTGACATTAAAAAAAAAATAGCCACAGGAGACAGCCACGCCAGCATGCTTGGGGAGAGGCTGGGCCTCCAGCCAGGGTGTTAGTTGGTGTTGTCTGCAAACTGTGATTCAGACTCATCTGGCTTAACTTATTTGGTCTGGTGCATGGAGGGCCTTTCCCGTTAGGAATTACTCTCTCAACTTTGGGAAGCCTATTATGACCTCAGCCTTATTACTTTCTCAAGTCTTTCTGTTATTCTAGAGTTAGAGAAAAAATTCAATATTATACTTAAATTCTTTGGTGTAGAGGAGACGGTGCTATTTGTTTCACTTTTCAGATCAAGAAACTACCTCCTCTGCCTCCCGAAACTCTCTGATTTTGGTTCTGTCCTCACCTGCCCTGGCCTTTCAAGGTCACCAGGGAACTCCTAATTACTGAGTCATTTTCCTGAGCACACGCACCTTCCACAAAGAAAAATCCAGGTTCCTTCCCCCAGCATCCTCACTTCCCACATCGCGCACTGAGCCTGCATTTCTAGCCTAGTTCCTGTTACGCTTTTCATGGAGGTTTAGCATTTGCATATATTATTTATTGTCATTGCCCCTGCTGTTTCTTCAGGCTGGGAGACCCTACATCTTTCCCATCTATTAGAATTTTATGCACCCTTCAAAATTTAGCTTCAGTGTCCTATCTTACCTCAGTGTACCAGGAGAATTCACTGCTCCTTCCTCTGAGCTCCCGGCACTTTTCATGAAAGTCTGTTTCTCACTTTTTCACTCTGCTTTAATTTGTAACTAGTTACAGTTGTGTTTGTCTTCTTCCGCATAATCCAGGAGCTCTTCGACAGCAATACTTTGTCTAGGGTATCTTCGTAAACTCAAGTGCGCATGACTGAGCATTCTGTTCACACTCTGTATGATAAAACGAACAAATTCACCTCTCATTAAGGAGCCAAGACATGGTTTTGTGATCTCATTTCCCAGGGACCTAAATTCTGATTCCAAAATTTCCACTTTGTCAGAAGAGCTGCATTTAGAAAGAGCAACTGAACTGTGTTCTTTGACCTTTGACCTATTCTGGTTTGTCTTGAAGTAAAGCAGGAAAGTAGAGAAAAAGAGAAAGAGGTTTTCCTATGTTTAATAATACTCACAAACATATAGTTCACAAAGCATCTTCATAAACATGTCTCTCCGAGTCTCCCTGAGTCTGCAAAATAGATATTATTATCATTCTCACTTTATAAATAACACACTGACCCTCAGCAAGGTTAAGGTCTAAGTATCTGAATTAGTCTCACAGACTGGATCAGGGAATCGAACTCCGGCCTCCCATGTGGTCTCAGCCTCGGGAGCACAGTGTTTCAGCAGCACACCATTGACTGGGCCTGGGCATGGTCTCCTGGCCTTAAGTCTCAAGCTCTATCCATTGCATCAACTCCTTTTGTTCAGACCTCTCTACAAGACAGCAGTTTTCAAGGCAGGTTTTTTGTTTTATTCTTCTCTATACTCCAGTGTACCTTCCCTCAGTGGGCCTCATGGAACTTTTGCTGAATGAACGATCATGTGAATGTGCAGATAGAGGGCAAAATCGGTTGGGCAGACGTAACATGAGGGACAAGTCGGTAAATGGGCATTTATGCTCCTTTCTCCCTTCCTTTCCTCCAGCAATTGGCATCTATCCATTCATTCATCCACTCACAGGCGTCGCTTAGTCGTTTCTGGCATCGCATCACTGATGCCCCAATCTGTGGTGTATTTTAGTGCCTGGCTGAAGGACACGGTGGATCCAATGCTGGTGACCCTTGACCACCGCATTGCTGCCCTCACAGGCCTTGATGTCCAGCCTCCCTATGCAGAGTATCTCCAGGTGGTGAACTATGGGATCGGAGGCCACTACGAGCCTCACTTCGACCATGCTACGGTAATGACAGGGTCAAAGAGCCACCTCCGGGTGGAGGGTGGGGGCACCACGGCATGATTTATCTGTCTGAGGCAAAGCTCTGGAAGGGCTTGCTGGGAATACTGATGAGATCTTAGAACACGGGGTCTGTGCAAGGAATACCTAAAGGCTTGAGTTTCAAGCTGATGGCTGTCTAATCTGCCACAGTCTCTCTCTCCAAAATCTGCCAGTGAGGAGAGAGTGTGACCTTAGTAGAGTCGTCTGTCCCGCCTCACTCGAGGACTTCCCAGAGTGGACTGGGATTCCTCCAATCACTCTCCTTTCCTCCTGATCTCAACTCCTCACTTGTACTGACAGCAGAAATACGTTTTAAGGATTAGAAAGATTGCTCACAGGACCAGCAGGTGGAGTGGTGGTTGACGTGCTGGACTCCCGTATGGTTCAAGTACTGGACCTGGTGACTTGAAAATCGTGCCAGGCATATGTGTTGTGTGCCCAAAATCCCAGGAGCAGAATGGAGGAGAAAGGATTGTGGTGTGGCCATCCCCCCTGGGGGGTGATTTCTCACTTTCCCTCTCACTGTCTTTCTCTGGCTAGCACATCCACCCTGAGGCAAAATCCTAAAAATAAATAAATAAATAAATAAATAAATTTTTGAGAGGTTTTTGCTATAAGGCACATGCACTCACCAAAAAGACAGAGAGAGACAGAGAGGCTGAAAGTGAGAAATCACCCCCAGACGGAATGACCACACTGCAATCCCTTCTCCTCCATTCTCTTCTCAGGATCTTGGGCACACACGCACACGTGAGTTTAAGCCACCGGGTCCAGGACTTGAACCACAGTTGACTACATGGGAGTCCAGCAACACAGC